ATAGCAAAAAACCTCTCCAAAAAAAAAAAAAAAAATCTGAGATCTGATGATTCCTAGATGTGTGCTCTTGGCAAGTTGCTTACCTTCTCTGTGCTTCAGCCTCCTCATCTATAAAAAGTGATATCTACACCAGTGGTTATGATTCAAGAACTGAATTTTGGGCATAGTAAGTACTCAGTAAATGTTGACTATTCATTTATTTTTTTTTTCTAGGAGGTTCTATTTGAGCTCCCTCTGCTTTTCCTTATTCTCAGTTATGTTCATCAGTCTGGATTAAACCTTCTTGTCTTGGCTTTGAGTTCCCTAAGGGCTACAGCATTGAGCCTTTCCTGTTGCCTGATTTACTTAGGTCTGCATTTCCCTGGAACTTTTTTCCAGCTTTCCCTCTGGTAGCTCTTGTTGGAGCCATAGCCTTTCTTTGCTTGAAACCACATGGAACCTCTTAGATGCTGCATACATGTGCATGCATGTGTACAGTAGGCATCGAATTAATTACAAAATGAATAAAAGAAAACTTTGATGATCTTCTTGTTTTTCCCATGTCTTCTCTCCTTGTACTTCTTAGGAAAAAGCAAAGTGTTTGTGTTAAACTTTTTAGTTTTAAGCCACCATAACTGAAATGCTGTTTTTCTTACATGAAGACTGGTCACCATATCTAAAGAAAATCTCAGCTATCTTGTATCTGGACTCCTCTTTCCTTAGCTATTTTTGGCAGAATTTTAATCACAAGACTGATCTGATTGTTTCTATCAAAATATATCTATAGTGCTCATTGTCTTCTCACCAGTTTTCCAGCATTTTCTCTAAGTGGAAATTCTTTTTCAGAAATCTACAAATGCCTCCTCAGTTCCTTATCTATAGGGATAAAGAGCATGTATGTATCCATGAATATTTATTGTGTACCTAGAAAAATAATAATATAGGTAGCCAGCATTTTTGAGTACTTGCTTCAAACAAGGCATTGTACTAAATGTCTTGAAAACTGTATTTCATTTTATCTTTACAACTGCCCTGTTTTGGAGAAACTTCTGGTTTAAATGAGAAGCAACAGGCTTGGAGAGAGGCTGTGTGGTGCTTATAGTTACGGGGCATATAAATGAATGAGCCAGAACATTGGTCCAGGTGTGTAAGCCTCATACAAACAACAACAACAAAACAAAACAAATAATGAAAGGTGATCACATCTGCCACAGAAGTTTGGAATTTAATGAGGAGGGGCCTCCAGTTTAGGGAGATCAGGTGGCCTTTGGGAGTAATGTTTAGCACAGAAGTTGCCCACTGAGACCGTGCTCAGCAAGAATAATGAGACTCAGCTAAAGAATTAGAATCCCTTCTTGGGCTGGAGATGGTTTAAACTTGAATCTTTTCCTGATTGAGGACTTCCTCCTTTCTTGAAGGCTGATATTATTTTCTTTTTAATTTGCCAAAGGGCACATGTATTTGCCAGAATGGGGAGAGTGAGAGAAAGTGACAAGTATCCTCCCTCATTCATGCACAAGCACCCAGTGTGATTTTTCAGTCCCCTGAATCCAGGAGACAAACTGCACAGTCAGCCGCATGGGATCAAGCTGCCTTAACCACCACACCACCTGCTGGCCTGAATGATGATATTTTTAGTTATCGCTTCTGGCAAAATAAGTGGTTGTTTCTAAAATTAACTGTCCAAGTGTTAGTATAACTCATCGAGGGACCGTTTCCCAGTTTTGCTTTTCTCTACCATGGATCCCTAGAGTATATTCCATGTGCCAGTGCTTTCACATGCACAACTAGACTGGCACTTTATGTAGAGACTTAAAGAGCAACCAAAGATGTATGTGTCCATGGCTGCAAACAATAGTGGGGTAGGGGCAAGACCATTAGAGACCTGGACACAGTTTAGACCTGCCCCATTATCAACTGCAGCTATAATGAATGGATCTGATGCCATCCCGTGTCATCAGACCAGTTTGCCTCACCCCTTTCAATGGAAGGTGCCTGGATTTCTCTTTACTTCAAGGTCATTCAGGGAATATGGGGCAGCACTGCCATTTCAGATCATATTAGGACCCTCTAAGAAAAAAAAAAAAACACAGCAAAACAAAAATGATATTAATGAATTCTGTTCATCTTTTAAGACAACTGTAGAAAACAAAAAAAGAATAAATCTATTTTTGTTGCCTTTTGCTTTAAAAAATATGCAATTAGAAAAGTGGCAAAATAAATAGAAGCTTTATCATTGCTGAAGTTTTTTTTTGCCAATGCAAACACCCTGTTCTCGGGGTCATGCACAGGGGAGCGTCAGACCTTCAATGGAGAGATGTTTTTGGATACCACCATAGTTTGTCAGTTGTAGATGCTAATGGAACCAGGCTTGGTGACTGAAGGAGAAAATGGAATATGAAAGCAAAATGAAAGAGGACTATGAAGCAAGCATGTCATTTCTAAATGAAGGTTTCATGCAAAGGAATTGAGTCTTTTCACAGCTGAAAATGGAATCTTTAAATAAGATAAAATAAAAGGATGCATTGGCTTGTTGCAGGTTCTGTAATGAAATACAGTTTTCCTAATACTGTGTGACCTGCATTTCTCCCTGCTTTATGGGTGCTATTCCTTGACGTACAAACCCGTATTTTCTCAAGTCAGCATTTGATGATGGATGTCAAAATACAGGCCATGTATTATGCATATAGCATTACCGATTTAAGGTGTTTACTTGTCAAGTTGAAGAAATTCAAAAACGTCACATCCACTGAATCTGCACAGCTGTCACTTGCAGTTTTTCATGCTTTTGAATGAAACTTCTGATGAAAACAGTTTAGTTTTCCCCTTCACTATTCTAAGGGAAGAAAACAGCTAGCATTTAAAATGCGTGTTCTTGGTTATGTGGTTGGCTGAAAAACACACATTCAAAAGCTTAGAAAGATGGACCTTGCAATATCATAATAAAATGACTTACCTTGTTCATAGAATGTTAATATAAAAAATAAAAATAAGTGTCATCAGGGAATGGATATTAAGTAAAACTTTTTCTTTCTGAAAGTATGGCACTCAGTGATACGAAATGTATACACAGGAGAGCAAAAATAAAACCTTTTATTAGATATTCCTGGCATTCCATGCATTATGCACCTCCAAAACAACAGGCAATTATTGAGCTCCTGTCATTTCATTCCTGAATCATACACAGCCCATGTGCCAGATTCAACCTAGTCTTGTCACATTACTGGGGAGTGAGTCAGGAACTGGTCATATAATTTGAAGGTTTGTCCTTGGACACTTAGCAACTTTGTACCCCTAAGTCCCAAATTCATTGATAAATCCATGTAGCAGCACACCATGAGCAAAGAAGAGAAACCAAAGTGAATGTGAACACCTGCATGTCCTCTGAGGTAGGGAGCAATTAGGCCTTGCCGCCAACGTGGAGGTGACGGTATCATTCCCCATATGCTTATCTTGGAAAACCCAATTTATACCAAATGGGTATATGCAATGAAGTTTCCTGTGCTTACGAGTCTCTATACATATTCCTTGAAGAGGCAATCATTCAGCCTAGATGGGATAATTTCTCATTTTTACCACATTTCAAGTTATGGTTGGTCCAAGCTCATCCCAATATGTACTTGGGACTTGGCCTGACACACAAAAAAGCCTGCACTGCAATTGTAAACCAAGCAAGCTGCTTTCCAATTTTATGGTACCCACATCTGACTTATGACGTCTGCGTTGGGCACACTGGGAAGGTCAAGGGGTAGCATCCTAAGTAGATGGTGTACACATCCATCAAGAGGACTTTAGCTGCAAGTAAAGAAAATGCCTTAGTTTGGCTTAGACAAAAAGAAGAAAATGTATGTATTATTGTATGTATTATTATATTGTATTTACATGTATAAATATAAATATATATTATATGCAATGTACAGAGAAATATTCATATAGAGCATGGGTATAGGTATGCATATATACATTGGGTCATTGGGAAAGTCATGATGCATTTTTGCATAGAAAAACAGAAAAATACGTCATGAAATACAGGTGTAAAATCTGAACATTAAGAAATTCTGAGGCAGGATGATTCCAGCACTGGTTACTGCAGGAACTCAGGGGAAGTTCTTTCATTTGATTCAGCCAATATTATTTAGTTAGTTTTGTCCTCAGCTGGTGTCTATCTTGGTTACAAGATGGCTGCTACAGTTTTAAGCACTACAGGCACATAAAACAATGTCCAGTAGATTAAAGAGAATATTTTCCTATATATTTCTTTTCAAGAGTAAGGAAACACTTCCCCAAATCCCTCATATTTTCTCCCACATCTCATTGGTTGGAACTATATCAAAACTCATTTACTGCCAGGAGGATAAGCCATCAACTGGGTTAAGATAACAGTTAGGATAGGTCAGGCTATGCTGTGGTAACAACAAACAAATGAATCTTAGTGGTTTAAAGCAGCACAGCTTTATTTTCACTCATACAGAATGCTTTGTGGGTCTGGGCAACTGTCCAGGACTGCTGTCCAGCCTTCATCTCCACAGTAACCTGTGTCCCTGCAGTTGCTATGGCCTAAGAGAGTGGCGGCAAATCAAATACTTGTGCCAGAAGTGATATGCATTGCTTTGTTCACTTCCAAGGGCCAGAGCATTTTATCTTCCACAATGCCATATATAACTTCAAGGGGGCACAGAGGTAAATCCTTCTGTGTGCCTGGAAGAACAGGGGAACCTAAATCTGTGAGCAGGACAAATAATTGGTTATAGAGCCTGGATTTTTAGAGAACTATCAATATGAGTTAGAATTATTTGTAATAGTCTTCTATTTTGTCAAAAAACAAACAAACAAACAAAAAACAAACCCAAAACCAAAAAACAAACAAACAAAACTCAAGAGAGTTTATTCTGAGAGCTCCAATTGTTGACCTGTAAGTAATACATAAACTATGTTTGGAGTTTATAGATGCACACTTTGCTTTCATTATATACAAATTTTCCACGTCTCTGATTTCTCCTCCTCTATTTCCTTCCTACTAGGATTCACACCTCCAGGAATGGACAGATCCTCTCCAGATAACAGCCCAGTACATGGGATATTACGCCAGCCATCTATCACGACTGGGGTCAATATCCCCATCATCACTGAACTTGGTAGGAATCGGTGTCATCTTGGGGAGGGATAGTGTTTGTCTTCTCTTCTAGACCATGCAGGGTATGAGGAGGTAGACTGGATTCTTAGCCCTTCCAGCCTACTAGTCTCTAGCGGGATTTGTTTTGGAAGTGGTTAGAGAGGGGTATGGGTAGAAATATGCCATATTACCCAAAGGGAAAACTGATCTATCTTTCCTCTGAGATGAATAGACAGTTTCCCACATGCTGGTCAGTGTTTTCAAAAGAGCATGAGATGATGCTTTTGAGATTGGGGCATACATTTGGAAAGGGGGAGGGAAGGAGGAAAGCTTTAGTCCATGGATTGTTACCAAAGATTTTCACTGAATGCACCTTTTATCAGCATTCTAATTTGGACAGCTCCTGTAACGGACTCCTCTGTCGATATGCAAACCCTCAAGTCTAAGCCAAACCCATTTTGAGAATTGGGTGGATGCACTGGGCTAATGTATAGTAACTCCACATTTAACCTATCCTAGTTGGACCTCTCAACCAAAGGCCATTTTTAGTGACAGCCACCCTGGTCCAAAAAATAATAGAGTTTCAAGGACCATGACCACTGGCCAATGGAATCACCTTCTACCTTGGTCTCAGTACCCCTTGCTACCATGGATGAGTTTGTGTAATTCCCAAATGGCCTGTTACCCCAAAGAGAAATACAAACTACCAATGGTCCCGGGTCCCTTTACTTTAGAATGTTTCCTCTGTTATTCCCTCACTCTTTTCTTTTTCTGTACTTTCCTCCACTCCCTTTCCCCAACCCTTTAATGCCGTATCCAATTAGCTAAACCAGGCAAGTTGCCTTTGGTATCAGTCAATCAGGAAAAAAACAGTGGGACGCACATTCTAATGATAACTGAACTGGGTAAGAAGCACTGTTTTCCTTCACATCAGTATCTCTTTTTGTTCTGCTGTTGGTGTTTCCAACGATCATCAGCTTGTTTTTTATTTCACTGGCTGTAACAGAAAGGCTACCCCATGGCACTGCTTTGAATGCATTTTATTTGTGGCTCTGGTTGGAATCGACTGTCTTGTTCTGGCCTTTCTTAATGATTTTTTTCCCCACACAGCATCAGTAAACCTTTGATCACACCCATCTGACCTGGCAGTTGTTTCCAAAGCATCTTTGCTCTAATTCATTTTCTTTGGCCTGAGCCTTTTTTTTTTTTTTCCACGCGTGCCCTGCTCTCCTGCCTTCTCCCTTACATTCCTCTTCCAACACACTGTCAATTTGACTGACACTTCTTCACAGCCCTCAGAGGAAAGTCAAAGAAGAAATATAAAAATTTTAAGATAAGAAACCTAAGATGGTGCTTTCCCTCCAGCTGTTTATTTTCTTTTATTCTGACTTTATTTGCCTTTTCTTCCTATGTGCCCCTTTCTCAGAAGCCTGGTTTTGAAGTCATAAAAGCAGTTTGTTCCTAGGGGATCCTCCTTACTCAGAAGGGTGTAGAGAATGAGGTTGGGAGCCAGTGAGACATAGCCCTGCACATTGACCCAACTCCCTGGCCCAGGAGCCTTCACAGAGATTCACAGTGGATTCATCTGGAAGATAAAGGCCTTCAGTCCTGATGCCATTTGTCAGGCCCTTCCACGGTTCCCCACCATTTGGTTACTAACTCCATGAAGGGCAACCATCAGCAGCAGGTCCCAGAACCGGGGATTGATCTTCTAAATAGAGACAGCGAAAGTGATGCTCCAGAGTGGAGTAGATACGGAGGTGCAGAGCATCTGCCTTCAGATGACTCACAAATGAAACGAACATTCCATTTTCTTGGCCCCAAAATATATTTCAAAATAAGAGAGCAGGCTTTTAACACAGTAATCTTGAGTGTGAGATGTCTAGAAGCTAAGGAATAAATTGTGCACCTTTCAGGACTGCATTATTGTAGACGCGGCTATTTATCAGGACAAATTCACTCAGGTCAGGGAGTCTCACACTATTTTCTGCTTCTAACTACAGTAGAGGTGTCTTTTTCATGGTTAGTGTAGTTGGCTAAAAGCCTAGGTTTCTGGAATGCTCTTCTCAGAACCATAGGACTGAGGAGATGTAGGCAGCTCATGTGGCCCAAACCTCTTGTAATATCCATCCAAATGTCTTCATCCCAGAAACCCACAGCATTTCAGGATCATCACCACCAGAAATTCTTTTTCTATTCAGAGTTTACCTGTCTCTGACTAACTAGGATATCTTGATTTGTCATTAGTAAAGAAAAAAGAAAAGGCTTGATGCCCTAAATCTGAGGCAATGATTCAGGTATTTGATCAGCAAAATTAACTCTCCTGACACCATTGTCTCTCCCCAGATCTTCTGTGTTCAGACCTGCCATGTGCTCACACCATCCTTCCCCTCTGTCTTGAGCCCTATTTCTCTAGGAGTCTTACCCCCATCCTCTGACCACTTTGCCTCCCACATCTCCACAAATATTCCTATCCATCCATGTGTTCTGAGATGTGTTCCATGTTACACCAGGATAGTAATAATGCCTTTTTAAAGATACAGAGTATACTGAGGTCAAGAAATTTTTTAGAATTGTGTAGGTTATGTTCCAGACTTCATCTATTTGTAGACTCCCAGTGGATGTTAGTGTGGTTAAAGTTCCAAGAAGTTTCATAAGAAACAACTAGGGGGACCAGCAGATGGCTCAGTGGTTATATTACTGGACTCCCACGTAGTTGACCATGGTTCAGGTCCAGGACCCAGTGGGTTAAAACTCATCCTGGGCACGTGTGCGCATAACATCCTGAGAGGAGAATGGAGGAGAAGGGATTGTGACATGGCCATCCCCTCTGAAGGGGGTGGTTTCTCGCTTTCTGTCTCTCTGTGTCTCTTTGGTGAGTGCACATGCCCTATAACAAAAATCTATCTCTTAAAAAAAAAGAAAGAAAAGACACAACTAGTTAAAGCTGTTTGACTTGGCTGCTGTTTCCTAGTTGTTTTCATTACATGCATTTTGGAGTTATGTGGGTATCTCTTAGCAGAGGCTTTGGGTAACACTGGTTGCTCTCTTGACACTAGGTATTGCTAGTATAACATGCAGGAATTTCACTGAACTCCAGCTCATTCTTGGAGTTTTTCTAGTGACCCAAATTTTTAGCTTGCTGAAAATCTGGGATCATCTCTCCATGCTTGGAGCCACTTGGCTTCCATGTCTATTACCAGCCTTTCTCATCCGCTTGAAGAGAGGTGACAGACGCTGCTCCCTAGGGAGTGTCAATGCACACACCATCATTGGCTATTACAAGTAACTAAACCACACTTTTCTGCACCTGGTGTCCAGTTTACGTTGCGGATTCAAAAGGTAGAAAGGCTAGACTTGGTCCACAACATGCTTTGGAACCAATGGAGGAAGGTGAGGAAAAGCCACCACTCGAAAGGCCCCTGAGCAAGATCGTAATGTTGCCTGAAGAGGCAGGGGGAAGCTGGATGTTTTCATCATGCAATGAGGTGACAGACACTGAATGTCACAGGGGCAATCATGATGGCAGCTCACACTCATCAAGTACACACAGCATGATCTCGGTGCTGGGCCAAGCTCACCAGGCAAATTTCATATAAGTCTCCTGACAACTTTATACAAGAGCTGCTACAATTTTTCCACTTAACAGAAAGAGAAACTAAGGTGTAGAATGATAAAGTGCTTTGCCCAGAGAAGTTGGTGACAGAGCCTGGACTCAAAACCCCTCATCAGAACCTGAATTTTGGACTTTTACACCCTGCATTTCAAATGCTGCTGAGACAACATGGACCGAGAAGTGATCAATTTTGGAAGAATAGAGCAAAGATTTCTTCCCATTAGAACCTTTCTCCAGGGAAACAAGATGATGTCATTTAAAAATAATTCCATGCCTAGTCTTTTATGGTGGTATCATTTATTCTGTCTCACACCCTAAACAAACAAAACTCAAGAAAAGGAAAACAAGTTATCAGGAAAGTTACTTAAAAAATTAAAGCAATAACTCTAGGAAATAGAGAATTAGCTGCTGATACATTTAGAAAGGAATCAGAGAAAGGAAATCTCATCTGTTCTCTTCCTAAAAGCACAGTAATTATTCCAGAAGTTACCAGTCTCCTCTCCCCCCATACACTTTCCCCCTTGCTCTGCAAAACTGATCATTTCTGAAGCCAAGATGGGAATGGAAATTAATTTGTCATTTAATTTTTAATAAGTTAAAGACATCTGAGTGACACAACTAATCAGTCTGCACGTACGTGCAGGAGGAGTCCTTGAGGAATCCTCAGATGGAAATGAAATACAGCATCTAGTGCTGCATCTGCTCGTGGAGAGGCACATGAAAGATTGAGCTGTTTAGAAGGGAATAGGGAGAAGGTGGATGTCCAGTGCAACTCAGAATGCAGAGCAAGTCTTTGTCAGCAAGCAGCAGGAGACAGCCAAGGATCTGTTCCACCTGGGGTTTCTCTGTATTAAACAGAGCCTGTTGGATGTGGGCCTCAATTCAGGACTGGGGACACCGAGTACTACCCAGGTTGATCGATCCCAGGGCAGGCTGTGGGTCATGTCTGAAGGTGAATTCCTTGCTATTTGCCTTTGCTGTGCTACCAATCCATTGCTCTTTATTTTGAATAAGTTGCTTTCTTTCCTTTATGGCTAAACTCACCATCCCAGCATGGCTACCCATCACTGAAATATGTCCATCTCTCAAAGGACTTGGCTACCAAAAAACGCTCCAGGGTGTTTTTCGGTCATGATCTAAAACTGTACCAAAAGACTGGCCAGCACTGTGTCTTAGTTCTCAGCAGTCTGCCACAGAGCAAGCCTGCTGCCCTCGTTCCCTGGGTCTCGGAAGTTTAAACAATCACATAGGAGCAGTCCGTTGAGTACAACTGGCCCCCACACCAAAGATCCATTTACAGCTTTTCCCATGTTTTTGTTTCCTTTTCAGTGACATCAGTATTTCTAAACCAGTGCCTGGTCTCCCTGGCTTTGTTGCTTCTTTGTCATTTTCAGAGCTAATTCTTATTTTACGCTTTTTCTAGTGAATGATACTAATGTTCAGTTTTTGGACCAAGACGATGACGATGACCCCGACACAGAACTGTACCTCACGCAGCCCTTTGCGTGTGGGACAGCATTTGCCGTCAGCGTCCTGGACTCGCTCATGAGTGCGGTGAGTCATCAGGCTCCCTCCTCCCTACTTAGCGGGTGGAGAATGTGCCAAGGAGCACTTCAAACTTAGAGACACTGAGCAGAGCTGGAGTACAATGTCAGAAGGCGTGTAGTCTAGAAGGGGACACTGACATTAACTGAACTTTCACTCAAGTAAGCATTTGGTTGTAAATTCCTCGAACTACAAGGAAGGTGAAGAAGGCTACGAGTAAATATCACTAAGCACTTGAGCTGGTCTTGGGGATCAGAGAGAGAGTCTGCAAGGAAATCATTTCTATTTTATGCTAAGTCCTGAGCCATAAAGAAAGGAGATTTTGTAGGGAGGAGTGTTCCCTGAAGAAAAAAGGAGAGCAAATGCATAGACCTGTTGGCAAGGCGACTTGATGTCCCTAGGAAGGTAAAGAAAACCTGTGAAGCAAAGTCACAGTCAGAAATGGCAAGAGAGGAGGGGGAAAATTGGAATTGCTAGACCTCAAAACCTAGGGTCATAGTCATGATCTTTTTCTTGTAAGTGATGAGATGATACTGGGGGAGAGGGGGGTATTTAAGTTGAAGAATGATGTAATCAGGTTCAAATTCTTAGAGGATTGTCTTGGCTGATATGTGGAAGATGATGTAGAGGGGCGAGATGGTACAGGAGATCAGGGTGAGAGGCGGTCCTAGCTCGGACTAGGACAGAGCTCGAACACATGGAGGGAGGTAGATTGATTTGAGTGTTTTTTTGTCAGTATAATAAATAGGACTTTGGAATAAGGTGACCGTGAGCAGATGGAGAGCACAGTGTGTCAAGGGAGACTCCAAGGTCACTGCCTGTCTCTGAGACAGAAGTCCTTGGGAGAGACCAGCCATAAGGGCAAGCTCCAGTCCATCCTCTGCTACATGAAGGAATAGAGAGACCAAGAGAGGAGGGTGGGTTGACTGAGTGATCAAAATCAGCTTTGGTTTCTTTTATAATGTGAGGTACACCAAATAATCAAGGCATTTCTTTTCTCTCCTTTGAGATGAAAAACAAGTAACAATTTAAAAACAAAACAAAACAAAACAAAACTAGATTCCAACTTATTGGTGCCATCTTTTACTGCAAGAAGACAAAAACAGACATTTAGAATGGATCATAATCTGAGTGTTGTAAAGCGTTCCCACTGAGGGTCTTTATTTACTATATAGAAAGGCTCTTTTTTTGGAGTTCTCAAATTCACCATTTGTGAAAATGCAGACATAGGCTGGATAAAAACTGACCTTTGGAGAATCCATGAAAAGGAATTTTACTGAACACATTAAAACCATAAACAGAACTCAGAGAGTTTTTATACACATACATTTCTTAAAGTGCTTAAGAAGGTTATTCTCTTGAATGTGTTAAACAACCGATATGCTAATTATGCATTACTCTCATCTATTCATTAAAACTAATCCCAGAAGGACCTATATTTGAGGAAAGAAAAAACATAAAGCTTTTTAAGACTAATTTAGGTTCTTCTATATTCCTGAACGTGGTCCAACCAGAAGCATATCTTAGTTAAAAATCAGAATTATGGATTTAAAAATAATTATAGAACAACATTCCTCTGAAGAAAGGTTGGCTGGGCTTCCTGCCTTGCCATTGCTTTCCAAGCCAACAAAGACATAAAAGCTCTGGAGAAGGCACTTGAGGCTTTCCAGGACTTGTGACTTCTCTGATGGACTAATGACACTGAACTAACCTTTTTACCTGCTAAGTGATTGTGGGCTTAGTTTGGGCAGCTGCCTTGAGCAAGCTAGAAGGAATGACAGAAGCTGCGGGATGTGCTCACTGGAGCCCCATAGTCTCTGCATTAGGCTTCGGCTTCTCAAATCCAGTTTCAAGTGGAGTTTTGTAATTTATCTCTTTAGAAATTTCATTTTAATTAGATTTCAGAAACCAGTTCTCAGTAAGAGATCATTAAACCCATTTACAGTCAATTTTTTTCAGAACTACATATATTTATTCTCTTAACATTTTTAAAAATCCAAATTTATAAAACTGTTTGTGTTTCTACATATCAGACAGGACCAGCTACTTAATTGGCAAGGCCACTTTTTTTTTAAAAAATGAATTATTAAGAATTTCAAAATGGGACAGCAGAGTGTTAAACCTAGCAAGAGATCCTTCCTGGCATAGATCCTGTGCAGCTACATAGACTGAACCCCATGAAATGAGCCCCAGCTCCAAGGAATAAAATTGGTTTAACCATTAGAAAACCTCACCTTTACACAGCCAGAGGGCCACATGATGATCTTGGGTTTAAGGTGGGGCAAACCTTGATTTGAATTGTCCAACTGTCTGTCTATAACATCACTAAGAAATCAGTTACTGGAAACTCAGATGAGAAATCGAAATGTACTGGTTTGAAAAAATTCTGAAAGCCATCTCCAGTGGCTTCCAAATGCAAATGCAGACTGAAATGTTTGGAAGAATGTGGCTCCAGCATGTGTGGATGTAGCAGTTCAGAAGCACCATTTCTTCAGCATTCTAGCCAAGGAAAACGGTGGGTCAGGAATCTAGCTCTTTGTCACTATATATGATCAGCAGCATTATTTGTTTGAGGGCCCCAGAGCTGTGAAAGAGACTTTTAGCTGCATTATCTGATGTAGTTTATTTTTTTTTTTTGACAACAATGGGAATAAACCTGGTTTAGTGTTAAAGTAAGACATTTTTAAGTGACTCACTGATAGGGACTTATTCAATCATTAATCAAAATGCCTACTGAATTGTTCCAGACCTTCTTTTATTGTCTAGTTTGAACAAATTCCATAGTTAAGTCATGAATTAGGTATGATTCAACAAACCAAAGTGGATCTAGACCTTTGGATAAAATGTTACCTGTGAGGCATTCCACCCCAACCCTAATTTGTGAAAGAGTACATTAGTCAAGCACTAAGGCAGAGGCTAGGCAGAACTAAAAGGTTTGGCAGGAATATAAATTGGGAAAGTGCGACTCCTCTGAACAGCAGGAGCCAGAGGTAAGCTTCCAGCTCAGGGATTCGCTTACAAGCAACATCACAATATCCACATACAAATCTCTTTGGATGTCGGTGATCTCCTTTTTCCAGCACTCCTCCCAAAATTGCCATTTAATCATGTGTCTAAACATTCCCTGAATATTGTCCTTCTTAACTCAACTCCTGCTGCTCACTGCTTCATTTGTTAAAAAAAACAAT